AGGACCAGCTCCACCAGCAGCAGCACCCCCAGAACCAGCACCTCCAGTCCCAGGGTCTCCAGCCTCAGTGTCTCCAGCAGCAGCACCCCCAGACCCAGGGTCTCCAGCAGCAGCACCCTCAACCTCAGCAGCACCTCCAGTCCCAGCAGCTCCAGTACCTCCAGTACGAGCACCTCCGGGACCAGCACCACTCCCAGCTCCAGTGACGACAGCAGAAACACCTCCAGCGGCAGAGCCCCGAGCTCCAGAAGCGCGACCCTGACGGCGACCGTACCAGTCGTGCAGCTGCTGTGAGATGAGAGGCACACGCGGACGAAGGCGGCTACTCCAGGGAGATCGCGCAACAGAAGACTCAGAACCCTCAGCGCCAGCACCCACAGCAGCTCCAGAACCTCCAGCGCCAGCACCCTCAGCAGCTCCAGACTCCGCGCCAACCTTCCCCGTCCACAGCAGTGTGGGCGAGGTCTCCGGCAAGGAGACACGGGGCCAGAGGTTGAGCTGATGCGCGGCGTACCGGACCGCAAACGGCCACAGAAAATGGGGGGCAGCCGCATGGATCATGGAGGTACGAGCGACCTCCATGACTAAGCCAATGCGGCGCTCAGCAACCCCATTCTGCTGCGGAGAGGCCGGAAGCGTGAACGACTGGGTGATGCCGTGCTCCTCACAGAAGGCTGCCAAGAGGTCGGAGGAAAACTCACCACCTCTGTCAGAGTGCAGACGCAGGACGGGAAACTCCGTCCCGAACCGCTCGCGGAGCTGGAGACGAGTAGCGCGGATCCAAGGGATCAAAACATCAAGGACCTCACCCTTGGTGCGCAAGGGGAAGACCGTGGTGTAACGCGTGTAGTCGTCGACGACCAGCAGGAAGTACCGCTCGTGGCCCTGTCCACGGACGCGGGCTGGGCCCCACACGTCCAGGTGGAGAGTCTGCAGGGGAGCCTCTGTGGGAGGGAACGAGGAGGAGTGAGGAGCGGCGCGCTGCCGCCCCTCGACACAGGGAAGACAGGGAGGAGCAGGCGAGGGTGGGAGGGGAGGGAGAACCCTGGGAAGACCAGAGACAAGGACACGGCGGTGCATGCTGCGAAGGCGCTGCACCGAGGGGTGACCAAGGTGGTGGTGCCAAAGGAGGGTCTGGTGCGACAAGGCGCGACATGAGCAGGGAGCAGACAACTGACCTGACGCAGACGCAGACGCAGCTACCTGAGGGGACCCAGTGGTCAGTGTGTACAGGCCCGACCCCGGCTGCCGGGTGAAGGTAGCCAGGTGACGACCCGTCTGAGCACACGTGCAGTGTGTCACACGCTCGTAGGCAGGGGTGAATTGATGAACACCCGCGTCCTGGAGCGCAGAACCCGCCACCAAGTTCGTAGAGAACGAGGGGAGGTAAAGACCCGACAGTGTGCCGGACGGGACAGCAGGACAAGGGAGGACAGTGGAGGAGGTCGCACGGACCGGACCCCCAGAGGGGTCTGCCAGAGAGACTGGAACCGGCCGACTGAGCGGCGTGAAGGTGGTGCTGTCGCGAAAAAAAAAAAAAAAAAAAAAAAAATTACGGGCGCGCGCAGCCGAGGCGCGCGCGGGCAGCAGGCAAGGCAGGTAAGGCTGTAGGGGCAGAAAATGGTGGGCCCGAATCTCAGGTCCTAAGGACCTATTGCTCTAGTTACCATGTTAGAAGTCTAGGCAAGGATGAGTCGATTAGGTCAAGGTTGGGGTACAAGAAGAATGTCGAGAGAAATACTGTACCCCCTAGTGCTAACCCCCATACAGCCTAGATAGGCATAACATGCATATGTGATTTGACATTTGCCTCCTGCAGCCAGGAGTTCTTACCACTTCCTGCTTCAAGGCGGCCACTCCAGTGGTGAGGTGTGCCGTTGTGCCCCTTAAAGCTCAAGGCCCAAATCGCGCAAGATTATTAATCTTGCGCAAGTTTGGATGCTGGGGGGTGGGGGTTGTTGACTTGTCTGATTTCGCCGCAACACGTGTCTTTTCGCTGAGTTGGCAAGCTTCAGGGGGGAGCGTGCGTTTGGGGACCTCGAGTCCCAAATTGTAGAGTAGAGAAACTTGATGTTTTGGCAGTGAGTGTTGCTTCGACCAATCAGATTGCGTCGTAACCACCGTAACCAGTTTTTCGCCAATTTACAACACAAAAAGCGAAAAGTGTGCAAGATTACAAATCTTGCCCTACGCGGCCCGCGATTTGGGCCTTGGGCTTTATTTGGCTAGTTTCTTCTTTGATATATGCCCAAAGGCCTGCATTGAGACATGCCAGTTTCGGTTCAAATGCCGGCATGTTTGACCTTCCTCTTGCCCAGTTGTTGCTTCAACTGCTTTTGTGACCCCTGCTTTGCCAACCGCAAATCCATGCAATCACCAAAGCCCATGACCGGTATACACGTGACTGCTGATTCGAAAGGCAACCCGAATGGCGAAGCTGTGGTCAGATATCGGTTTTGGTGGCTGATTCTAGGCGTCGGAGGAGTGCTTGAGAGATAAGTGCACGATCTATTCTGGAAGTAGGTCGTCATGCTGCTAAGTATGAAGCACCACACCTCCCGCCGCTTAGAGATCTAGAAAGCACCACACTGCTGCACTGATCTATCATTCTTTGTTGTTCTACCTATTTCTATTGACTTGTCTAGGATGGGGTCTTCAACTGTGTTTACATCCCCTCTCAGGAGCAATTGAGAGCTGCTTGGCGGCTGATCGAGTGCTAGTCCCAACATAACAGTCACTTCTATAGACCACATTTACAGGGAAGTATGTTGCAAGCAGCGTAAGATGCAAGACAAGACCTCGCACCTCAACCATTACAAGTCTACCAGTACAAGTGAAGTAAGGTACCGTGTACCTGGATGTGGGGATTCCGGCAAACGACAATAAAATCGCCGGCTCTCGCTGGATAGGTGAAGCTGCGATTACGGATGAATGTATCAGTGAAATCAAAAGTAACGGAATGCTGCTATTTTAGTTGTTGAGAGGATCATGATGTCTTTGAATGTCGGCCCTTAGGCATCCGCACATTGTAGAGAGCAATCGAACCCAACATCAAGCACCATCCTACTCTTGTTAATGACCTCTTGCCCAGCTGATGCATGGCTACATTGTATTACTTCCGGACGGTGCTGAGGTTCGCCTTGTCAAGTGAGGATCGGATGGCGGAGTCCAGCTTCTTCAAAATGAAGCTTCCGGATGGCGGTCAAAATGAGTACAATCGTCGGGTCCCTGAGGATGGGGAACACCAGTTGTGAGGTGCAGATCGAGGCCGATGCAAGAAACAACCAACATGTCAGTGGTTGCAAGGTAAGGATAAGAGTTGGGTTCCGTGAAGTCCAATAAAAAGTTTCTACTGTAGATTGGCTTCTCAATGTGCTGCCAGTAGAGTTTGGTCGTTGTGCCGTTAGATCTCTGATATTCCACTCCATGCCTCTTGATGTTGTCCGCATCACATTCCTTCAGAAAGGAGATTTGAAGACAGCAGAAACGGATCTTTGCAATGAAGGATGGCTGCATAACTTGGAAGGTGGCAGTGTCAGAGGAAGAGATTTATATAGTATCCGTCAACGTCTGGATCGTTGAAATTACAAAAGCCTTATTTGTAAAATGCAAAACGAAAGGTATTATCAAAATATTGGTAACACGAAGACGCAATGCAACTTCCTTTGGAAAGTCAATGTCGAGATCATTGTCGAATTCCTCCCTAAGAAACCCGTCGTCAAATGCATCAGAGATGGCGATCTTCTTGAGTTTACACTTCAAAGAGAGACCAGAGCTGCTGGCTCCATGATTCTCGTCGGCTCCTTCATTCACAGGTGTTGAATCTGCTGACTGTTTCCCTTCCTCTTGCTTCTTGACTGTGTCCACATGCCACACAGGAGAAGAGCCATCATCAGGGGTGACAACTTCGACCGACGCGCTTCTTCCTCTTGGAGACATCGTGCAATGATGCTTGAGAAAAGCAGCACTCTGAGAGAGAAAGTGTTGAAATCATGAACTACTTGTGGTTTGAGCACATGATCCCTACGAACACTGTTGCAGTTGATGGTATTGTTCACAGCGTTTGTGATCTATTCCCGATGTGGGTGTTTTGTAATCAGGCTGATGCATAGAGTTAATGGTGCTCCAGTGTAGTCGTGGTCTTAGTGTGAAGGACTTATGGCCTAAACCCATGAACAGATCCTACGGAGGAATAGGCGCTATGTCCGTGAAATGGACACAAGAAGTGTATCTATAGCTTCATATCTAATTTGCAGAATCAATCTAGTGTTCGTTGCAGAAGTGCGGAAGAATTCGTAGCGGCCTTGACATGGTTGTAAAACGAGCAACTGAGCGGACTACCTCTCCCCCCCCCTCCTCTCCCTCCCTCTCCCTCCTGAAATGCTTTTTTTGGGTCGAATATTCTTCAACGTTTTGCTGACATGTTGACAGCCGCACGCACTGAACTGGCATCACACGTTCAGAGTTCGCTGCATCACTTAGAAGTGGATTGTGGGAACGACGGGGTGCGTTACAAACAACACTTTACCGTAACTTGGTAGGGTGCAAGGCACCTTCCTACTTTTGAGGGATGCCAGCCCGGCTCCACTATCCAGCCAAATACGGCGCAGGTAGGTGCACCTCTAAGGGTGAAACGGCATCAACACCATTCTAGATATTAGCAACAGCTACCTTACCATCTGTGAAACCTGGTGGATACAAAAAAACACAACTTATCAGCATGATAATGTAGATCACCCCCATTAATACAATTTGCAAATAAACACCGTCAGCCAAACAATAGCTAGCTAGCCACCGTCCATCAGCATAACAACCATCAGCTCAGCATAATCGATAACCAGATTCCACCACCAGCATACAGCTAAGAGTTTGGGAGCATCATTCTCAGCCAACACCACACATCAAAGAGCATAAACTTGAGTGCATGGTGCCTGTTGTTGGGGCGCCAGATAAATTAACTAGGCTGCAGCGGTGGCAGTTGCTGGGGCCTCGATAATAAACTACACGGCAGCGGAGGCAAAGAGCTTGGCCACCTCGCTCCACATGGCCCAGGGCTTGCCAATGAGATCAACGGTGTAGTTGATGTGATGCTGGCTGGGCAGAAACTCAAACTCGCACGGAATCTCCGAATCCACGTACCCATTAGCAAACGCCATGCCAACCGTCCCCTTCACCTTGAGAGGCAGCAACGCGTTCTGAGGCATCAAGGCAGCTAGCTTGCTGAGGCCTGGTGACATTGAATGGACGTCAGGTAGGGTAAACCCGAGGCACGAGGAGCCCACATCAGGGGGCTGGTTCGGCAAACCACCCACGGTTACCATGGGTACTTTGTGGCGTTTCCCCAGGACGTGTGTGAGGATGCCGCAGGCAGAGAAGCAGTTTCCATCCGACAGGACCAGGAAAGGGCGGTCGCCAAACACCGGCTGCTCTAGCTTCACAGTGGACTTGCTATTTGTCTTGAGCGGCGCCGAGTAGTTCCCTGCAGGGCCGCCTTCTGTGAAGCGGAGCTCGCGGAAAGGAGCGTAGTCAAAGGCGCTTGTGAGTGTCGTTCCGTTGAGGTCGGAGTATCCTCTGTAGTAGTAGTGCGTATTGGGATCGATGGAGAGAGCGCTGATGGCATTCTCGGTGTACGGGGTGCCGATGATGAAATCCACGGGCAGGGAGAATTCCGAGTCCGGGACCTTGGCTGCCCCCATGAGCAGGCGGATGGCTGTGTATGCTGCTGCGGTGTGGCCGCCACCGTTGCCCCGCACGTCTATGATGATCTGCGAGGCGTTGGATCTGAAGAGGGAGGCATGGTGGGTTGCGTGGGGGAAGGCGTCGGGGGATTGTGAAGGGACGTGTGCGGGAACACATGGACAGAGGCACGGGGGAACGGGCAAGTAGGGAAAGGAGGGTGGGAAAGTGATGAGGTGAGAATGTCAGGAGAATGATGAGTAGATTGCAGGGTACTAGCATGAGACAAGGAGCAGGGTAGGGTAGGGAGGAGGGCTGGATGGGGTAGAAGGAAGGGAAGCTGGAAGGGGTAGATGGAAGTGGGGCTGGTGGGGGAAGTACAAGGAAGGGGGGCTGGAAGGGGTAGAAGGAAGGGGGGCTGCAAGAGGAGTACTGACGCTGCAGCGGTGAGAAGAGCTTTGGCGACCTCCTTCAACATGTAGCTCTCCGCGTTGACATTTTTCTCCGCCAGCGCCTCTGACACTGCATCACTGGGAGTGAATGTGTGAATCCAGATCACAGCCGTGCTTCCGCCCACCAGGTATACCTGCACGCTCACATGCACACATGTGCGCATGTGCACGCACACACACACACCGACTCACAAGCAAGTTGGGCGCACGTTTTAGGTTTGCGTAAGTGCGGAGAGCGCCTCGAGTCAGATCAGATCAGAGCATGTCACATGGCAGTCAGTTGCTGTTACACGCAAGCCCCAAGCCCCTAGACGACACACACCAACCGGTACAAACGGCAAGCCCCAGGCGTCTTAAGATTAACAACATTGATAAGAACCCAAGCACCCATCACGCAGGAACCCCACAGCCTCCAACATTCACCCCAACAACTGAAGCCATCCCGCTCACCAGAAAACTATCACCCTTTGGTGAGATCCGCGTTACAGTCTGCCCCGCTACTGCACCAGAAGAGCCATCTGCCGCTGCAGAAAGCGACGCAATCTCGACATTCAGGTCGTCGCTGTCATCGCTGATATCGCCGTAGTACACTGGATCAGGGTGGCGTTTGAGAAACCTGTCCATCACCGGAATGTCCGCATTATGGCCGATGGAAGTGAGCGTGGCTGCCTGCGGGCTACTGGTGTCGCCAGCGGCAGCGCCTGATGCGTTGGGTACGGCACAGCGACTCGCCCAGTACCCCGTCGCATTCACAAAGTCAGCACGCTCAGTTGTCCCGATCCATGGCACCTGTACGTCCTCCGTTGAGCCTCCATCCCTGAGAGTTGCAGCGGGTGCGACACAAACAGGGTGGGTGGACGGATGAAGCGTGAAAGGGGACGAGTGGACTGAACGCAGCACGCGAACTGCAGGGAAGAAACGGGGGAGTAAACGACACACACTGCAAAAGGAAGAGCCAATGAGCATCAGGCACTGTAGCTCACGCTGTTGCGAAGGACACCAATAAGGTGTCGTTTTCGGGAGCAATGAATCGTCGCGCGAAGTCGCCTGCCACCTGGACAATGTTCGTCCCGTCCAGCATTGTTTCCGCCTCATTCCTCGCAAAAGATTTCGTGAATCGCGCGGCCCGGTTGCGAAACATGCCCAGTTCCTTGTCTGCCCAGTTCAGGATGAAATCTTCCGCCTTCTCCCCGTTAATAGCCACCACCTGGGACGTCACATGAAGCATTGAAAACAAATTTGTAGGTTGGGCGTGTAAAGCTCACTAGAAGGACGCACTCAAACTGACCAGCTGCTTGAATGGCATAGACATTGACTTCCAGTTAATTCCGTAACATACCTGTCGGCCCTCGTAAATATCGAAGTCAAAATCGTGCAGAACCTTCGCGACATGTCGCATACCCTTGGGAGTGACATCTGGTGACCAGAGGGAACAAATCAGACAGAAATTACAGCGCTTTTAGATGCAAGTGAAGTATTTCACAGGGGAATATCATTGAACAGGTGCTACAACAGAGAAGAGCGTTACTAACACTCGCATAACGCATGACAGAAAGAGTGTCGAATACTCACATCGGCGTGGTGCAACGCGAATGATTTGCTTCCCGTCTTCCACAACAGCCATGAGCGGCAACGGCAAGTCGTAAGTCCCAAGGAAACAATTCGGGACGAACATGCTGTGCCCATCGTTGAGCGCCATGGTCGCTGTGTACGCCGCCATGTGCGCATCAACTAGCCGCGTGTACTTCCCCTTCTCGCCGTTGGCAACGATCTTTCTCAGGTCCGCGACAACATCGATGCTGCTCGGCAGGTTGGTCTGGTCCGGCGAGTCAACAGCGATGTGCTTATACACGTAGTGATTGTCAAACGCGTTCGCGATCGACAGCAGGTCCTCCACGTCGCACTTCTGCCTGGCAGATACAAACAGGGAAAATCGAGGCCATCATAAGTTCTCAAAATCATCCGGTCAGGAAAGCTCGAATTTGAGAAGCACCTTCAAAAGAAAGCGGAGCATGATGCTTCTAACGTGGATGGAAGAGAACTCTAGAAAACGCAGCCGCGGCGGTAGTGCGAGCGAAAGCTCTACTGGTGGTAGTAGTACCTGAACAGAAATGTCGAGTAGCAAGCTTCGAAGAGAGAGGGGGCTGCGAACCATTTCCCTCCAGTCTTGTTCCCAAGTTTCTCCACACTCCGCGTTAGCTCCGCCGCCAGCGCAGCACACGGATCGGGCGCGGACCCAGACACGATCGAAGGGTCCACAGGCGCGTCGTCGCACGTTTCCGCAGGAGCTGGCGCGGGCGCCGCCGCAGGAGCCGCCGCCGGGGCTGGCGTCGGGGCTGGCGTCGCCGCGGCTGGCGTCGGGGCTGCGGCTGAAACTGGCGGGGGCGAGAGCGGCGGATCTGTCTCCGTGCCAGCAGCGACGGTACCGGCGGCAGGCCCCGTCGCTCCGGCGGACTCCGCGGCGGTGAGCACGGCCTCCGCTGCGCGTTGCTCCGGGACGAAGGGGACGAGGCCGCCGTTCCAGATCCAGAGGCGGGCGGACGCGGCGGAAGGCGCTTGAAGCAGCAATGCTGCGAGGACGAGCACGGGGAGAAGGTCCGCGGCGCCGGCCATTGCGTTGCGCTGCGGCAGATGATGCGGCTCGGGGGACTGGGTTGGCTTCAGGTGGTACTACCGGTGACTCCGAGTCGGAACCTACTAGCGATGGCAACGCAGGCTAGTGGTAATTGCTGGTCAGTCTGAGACTGCAGGAATGAAGTAAGCAGTTGAAAGCCGAGAGTGGGTAGATATACCCGCTTGGGAGAGCAAGGGGCGACTTTGGAACTTCGGCGCGACGCCACGTCCGCCATCCTGCATGTAATGCGACATCGGCGAAAGTCCGAGTCCGACTCGATAAATGGTGCGTGTCCTGCACGACGATGGCCCCGCATATGCAGTAGCAGGATACGACGTCCGAACCTGACCTGAACTCGGAGTTGAAGAAAGGACTCCATGTGAACCTGATGGCGACGGTTCATTCCACGCCAGACCCAATGCCCTGCTACAGGCCTGCGACTGACCGTGCCCTGCGACACCCATGCCCTACAACCGGCGTACTACAGATTGAAAGGGCCCATCGACTTGTGGCGAAACGGCAGCAAAGACGTAGCGATGAGCCCACATCACTTCGTGTGTGATGAAGCCTACATCACAGGGTGGCTAAACTGTTGTACTACAACACTACGAGTCGTGGACGTAGCGATTCTAGTGGGATAACACCTTCACCATGACCTAATCGGACCTACGCGGACACACGATGTCAGAAAACGTGCGGACCTGAAGGGTGAGAAGGAAAGCTCGCGATAGAAGGGGAAGGTCGTGAGGGCCTATCAGGGTAGCACCATGAATTCCTCAGTCGCAGGGCGCATTCAGTAGCTCGTCAATCACTTTTTGTTTTTGGGGTCGCGGAAATCGCAAGCAGTAACATTCTCGCTGGCCAGTGCTTCGAAGTCACGAAAACATGTTGGCGCTGCCCAACTGGAGTTCTTGGTCGCCACATCACGGTCACGTATTATTCGCATCAACTTCGCCCTACTGTGAGTTGCTTGGATAACCCCAATTCGGCTCGCGAAAGTAGAGATTCGATTGAGGCGTCATGTGCGACATATGGGTACCTTGTTTTGCTGCGAGGAACATGAGATTCTCGAGGTTTGAAGGCCCAGTTCGGCAGCCAGGGGAAAGAAAAATGCTAGGATGATTATGAGAAGGTGAGGCCTGCGTCAACCCAGGGTCAACGAATTTTGACCCTGGTTTGACCGCACCACGGACAACCTGCGCCATGGGGGAGCCGGCGCAGGTTGGAGGGGGGAGATAGGAAAAAACTCCGCAGGTCGAGGCACATTTGCCATCAAAAACGAATGTCCCAGAGCACTGTAGCAAAGCGAAATTTCTCGCCCTAAAAAACAATCCCATGCACATTTGCCCTCGAGTAGGGTCCTTTTGTGAAGTAACCCTTTATTTCGTCTGGTGCAATTTTGTCCCGTAAATAGTGATTCTTGTGGAATCAAAAAATTGATTCTTCTGTTTTCAAAGAATCGCTTTCTTCTTCCGTCGCACTAGGGCGGAAGCTTTCCGCCAGGGGGGGGGGGTGGAGAATAAGACAGAAGACGGCGCGAAATCAATTTTCGATGGAGTTCGCGTCGCAGCTGTAAAACACCTGCATTTCTCCCTACAACCCGCACTGTAGAGCCCTCCATAATGCGATTGGAAGCTTCATAGAAGAAACCAGAAATTTTTCTTCCGTCTTTCTTCGGTGGCTGCCGAACTGGCCCGAAGTCGTGACAGACTGTAGAAAGAATTGCACGACGCGACGTGTTTCACATTTTTTTCGTGACAATCCTTGTTTTTGTTTTATTTTTTGGATTATTAGGCTCTACTGTGCCATCTGGATTGTCACATATTCAGGTGCATGAGTGAATGCTTGCCGTTGCGATTGGTCCACGTATAGATTTGGTAAATCGATTCTGTCTGATTTGTCAGGCGTTATGATTGTTCGGTACAATTGTCGCTGCAATGATCCAAGACCCCCTAGAAATATCTTGTCCAAACGTCAGCGGGACCACACGTGTCCCTAATTCGGCGCTAATGTTGTTGCATTTCTAGCCAATTAGCGCTTACCATTCGGCGATCGGGCCTAGATTCATTGCATGCACTCAATGTTTGGGCAGAGGTCGGTCCACTTCTCTGAAGTGTCGCCCATGAATGTCCCCGTCAATCCCACCTCCCACGAGGCGCCCTTACTTCTAACCTAGGTCAATCGTCAAAGAGGTTTTCTCGTCATTGAGATTTTCTAACAATTGAAATCGTGTACTCGTAACGGTCCGCTGCCGCGCAGTTATGGGTCTCCAGCGGGGCGAGGGACGTAATGCGTCAATATCCAGTGTCACGCTACTCAGAATATGCGCAGTTCCAAAAACATTCCACGTTTTGCAATTTATTGGCCACCGCCTTACACCCAACCAATGCATACCCCTTCTTCGTCATGTGCACATGATAACCGAAGTGGTGCGTGAGAGCGAATTCCTATAAAGCCTCGAAACACTTATCTCGCGATGAGTACAGCCCGCCTAGTTCAAGTGACTCATAATCGTTGGGCGATCCTGGTAGAGGATCGGAATCTCGCACAGAATGCATTTCGCGGAGGATTTTCGGCCCGGAATTAGCCGCCATGCTGCCAGGCTGACTGCTCTAAGTCCACGCCTAATGCGTTGCCATATGGTGATAACACCAGCAGCTCTAAGTGGGGGGGGCGGCTACATTACTAAGTCACTTTAGGTTCAGTGATACTTAGATTTGGAAGTCACTATCAGTTGTTGTGCGGGTGGAGTGAATGATTTTGAATGCTCATGTAAGGGCGCAGTACATAAAGGTAATAAAATAAGTTATTGTCCGAAATCGGGAAGAAAACGGCTGGTCCAAAACGGTACATTTGACCTGCAAAGTGGCTTACTGTGGTATGCATACGACGATCTCGCCTTGAAATGGTCTTCATTACTTTGATGTAACGCGCCCACAAGGCAGTAGTCTTAGCTCCAGTAGGTTATGAGGAACATTGTAGAGACACCTGAATCACACACAACAACAAAACATCTACCGCCCTCGTGCAACTGTGCATCACAACGCCAGTATGGATCATGGCTGCAGTCGCGCAAAAAGACAGCTCCTACGCTGGGTATGCAATCATTGAATCGGAATTGCGTCAGATTCGTTATCACGCAAAAGCAACGGATTTTTGGGACCCTAACCTCGAGAAAGAAGTGTGAAGATAATGTGTAGAGTTAGGAGCCATAGCTAGGTAAGTCCTAGCTAGGCAAGAGAAGTTTAGGCAAAAGAGGAGGGTTTTCACTAGCAGCAATGAGGATACATATAGCAAACCCTAGATGGGTTGTACTCGCTATAGAGCACCCCACTACAGGCTAGAGAATAACATTCTGACAAGAAGAATACGCAGAACAACCGCACCGTGATGGCGGGTGTAGAAACAAGTGGCAGTCCATGGAATTGAGAGAAATAAAAAACGAGGAGGGCGGTGCGGGGGGTGTTCCACAGGATTGAGCAAAATGGGAATCACGTCGCGGCGCACAATTATTTCCTATTTATAAGATTTTTCTTACTTCGCGTCCCTGCTCAGCGCGTACACCACTGTTCCCACCAACAGCACCCAACAGTAAACCGTTACCACTCGCGACACTCACCTCGACTACTGTTCCTGCCACTGTTCACAACGTGACCCAACCTCACGGTTCGGTTGGTAACCCGCGCTTCGGACCTCCGCCTCAACAATTCCCAACCTCGGCGCTAGGCCCGTCGCGCACCACATTTTCATGCATTACCATTACCATTGTAGCTTCGCTATATATTCTTCGCTCATGCCTTCGCCCAATGTATTGTTTTGCTTCGATAGTGCAATTCTCGCTCGCTCGCTCAATTGCATTCGTAAGACTTGGTATCAGAGCCTACAATCTCTTCTCGGACCGCTCCCACACCTTCGCTTCCTTCACTATCTCATTTTTTGGAGGGGGTAGACGTCTCTCAGCGAACAAGCACCGCCGCTCGAAGTGCTCTCTCGTAAGCACGCACGGCCACAACAAAGGCTCTTGCTAAGCTTGCTTGACACCCCCGCCATGGTCGAATTTAATCTCGCAACACTGACGCAGGAGCAGCTCGACCGTCTCGTGCGCCAACTCGAAGATTCGGCGCTCGAAATTGCGGCACTTACGGCGGAACGCGACTCCGCTCGCCAACAATCGACAGTGAATGCACCAGCACCAATACAAGCACCTGCAAATGGACCTGTGCAATCGGAGGAGCCGATTGTCATCTCATCAGGCACACCGGCACAAATCGACAGTGTGGGACATCGCTCAGGCGCAGCCAGTGATGGTGCCGCCCAATCAATGCCCGGCATGGAGAGGAACAGGGCTGCACCAAGCATGAGCGGGCCTCCCGAAGCCCGTCGTCACGGTCGAATTTGCGGCAACGATCGGCAACAACGACATCATCGAGCCGCTGCCGCTCAAACCGCAGCGCCCGCCCTGCTTCGATCATAGCCAACGAGGAGGTCCGACGATTCAATCGTGGGTCTTCACGATGAACGTTTTTTTTCGACGCGAATTACGTCGAGTCGGACGCAGCGAAGATTCGCTATGCTGTTTCGCTGCTGAGGGCCCCGCCATGGACTGGTGGTGAGTCATAGTGACGTCGCCATGCGCCTACGAGCCGTCGTTGCAAGAGGAAGAGCCCATGGGTCCAACCGTCACTTGGAGTTCGTTCTGCGAAACCGCCTAGTGCAGCACGTGGCATGCGTGGTGCGCAGGGCTTCGGGCGCACTTCGAGTCGATCGTGGCTTCTATTTTGGCGCGTCAGAAATTGTGTACTTGGCGACAGCTTGGGTCGGTCCAAGACTACACCAGCGTTTTTCTCGCTCTGTACGAGCAAGTCGGCTACATGCACGAGGCGGAGCGGGTGGACCATTACGTCTGAGGGCTAAAACCCAGACATTTCGCACAAGATTATGCTACGCGGGCTATCAAATTTCAACGAAATCCTCGCGCTCGCGGAGAAAATCGATATTC